GGGGGGGGGGGGGGGGGGGGGGGGTGGGGGGCTTCCGGGTGTGTGAGGGGACGGGCGTGGGGGGGCTTCCGGGTGAGGGGGGTCTTCTCAGCGAGTGACGGGGGCAGAGAGGAGGTTTGTCGGCTCCTGAGGGGGGAGGGGCTCCTCGATGAGTGCGGGGGCGGGGGTCGGGGCGCGGTGTGCGGGGAGCTCACTTGGAGGAGCTCGAGGCCTCGCGGGGTCCCTGCTCTGCCTCGGGTGCCTCCCTGTCCTCACTGCAGTGCCAGGCGGGATTCGCGCCCTGCCTCAGTTTCCTCCCCGGCGCCCCTCCCCCCCAGGACTCCCGCCTCGGGCGGCCCCCGGCGAGGGTGCGCCCCGCGCGTGCGTGCGCGCGTGCGGCTGCCGGGCCGGGGGCGGCGGGGAGGGGCGGCGCGGCGGGGGTCCTCCGCCCGCACGCGCTCGGACTCCCGCCTGCGCGGTCAGCGCGTGAACCCCGCTGGCAGCCGCCTCCCGGGCGGACGGACATTTTCCTTCCGCCGCGACAGAGGCGTGAGCCCGGGGTCCGCTTCCGTGCAGATCGCCTTTTTACCGTTTTCACCCGGCGAACGTGCCGGGCCCCGCGCCCCCTCCGCGCCCCCTCCGCGCCAGTCCTTCCGTGGAGCAGACGCACCTTGAAGCCTGAAGGCCGCGATAGCCGAGCGCAGTGTGGGTGGTTGCTAGGTGTCCGAAGGGAGGGCAGAAACCGGTCCTGGCGGCTCAGAGGGACCGCGTGGCCGCCTGGCCTCCTGCCCTCCTGGGCTGGCCCTTCGGGGCCCCCGAACAAAGAGGCGGCACAGAGAGATCAGTCTCCCCAGATTCCTGGCTAATGTAGGCCGCGGTCCAGTTAGAGGGACTGCCGGTGATATGAAGGGGGGTCCTCGCCCCTGGGGTGGCGGGGTGTGTCGGGTCCCCACATCCCGGGGTGCTGCTACCAGAGTCACCGCGGCACCCGCAGGGACAGGTTTGGGAAGGCTTGGGGCCGGCCCACTCTGCCAGGATGGCCAGGACCCTGCCTCAAGCCAGTGATGAGGGTTGAGCGGTGGACCCATCCTCAGCCCTGGCACCTCCAGTGAGAGCTGTTTGCTCGCCTGGCACACATGTATACATACACGCCGGTCAGGGGGACCCGGGGTCAGCCCGTGTTGTTCTAGGGAAGGCATTGTCTGTTGGGTGAGCGGAAGGCTGGTCCTTGCTTGAGTAAGCTCTTTCCTTTAGAATTGCCGGTTCATAGCATTTTGCCTAAATCACAGAAGGGAGAAGTGGCTGAGAGGGAGCAAAGGAAAACCCAAAGGAAGAAAGAAAATCGCCAAACTGTACTGGACAATACTGCCTGACAAAGCAATGATATTTTACCTTTGACTCATATTAAAAACGGGTGCCTCATTTCTTCTCTGTTTACTCTGTGCCCTCTGGATAGTCTTTATGTGGAACATTACGGCCCAGACCTCACTGAGACTGTCTCAAGGATTGGGGGTGCATTAACCTGGAACTTGCCCACAGTGTATATAGATAAGAAGATGTGAGTGTGGTCTTATTTTGGAGCCCAACCTGATACAGCATGTCGCCTGGTCTACCTATGTAAGTTCCCTACGTCCCCCCCACTTCCCTGCCGGCCTTCTGTCCCTACCCTGTCCTCCAGAATGCTGCTGCCACATTCTCAGAACTCGAGTACTCAGTCTTCAGAAAGTGCAGGGAGAACACGGTCACTTATGAAAGGTATATATATGCTGCCATCTTTCTTTTTCTCAACCATTTGGATCTTTTTTTTTTTTTTTAAATATTTTTATTTATTTCCAGGAGAGAGAGAGAGAGAGACAGTGTGAGCAGGGGAGGGTCAGAGAGAGAGGGAGATACAGACTCTGAAATAGGCTCCAGGCTCTGAGCTGGCAGTCAGCACAGAGCCCGACGCGGGGCTCGAACCCACGAACTGCGAGATCATGACCTAAGCGAAAGTTGGACGCTTAACTGACTAAGCCACCCAGGCGCCCCATCAACCATTTGGATCTTGTTTGATAATGGTCACACTAAGTACATTGTTCCAAATAATGACGCACAATGAAAGATCACCTGAGACCTTAGTTTTGGCCCTGGCCATGTCACTTGTATTCTTTTAACTTATTTAGCTCAGATTGAGGCTTAAAGAACACAGTTCTAGGAGATCAGAGTTTTTGCTCCTTGCTAGCATCACAAAGTTGTAGGTTAGAATGACTCTGATACCACCAAGACTTGAGACCAGTTCTTTCTGAATAGACTGCCTTGACTTGAGCCGGATTGACTTGTTCAGATTTAGGCAGTGAAGGAGTTCGTAATGAAAACTAGGGTCAACAAAAGTACTGGAATCTCCTTGTTCTGAGCCACATTCCATGAAACCACCGTATTTTCGCAACAGCTACTGGCAGCATCTCCATGGCGGTGGATGTCTCACCTTTCCCCTTCTTCAAGGGTACCCTTTCCCCCTTAATCACTTTAGCTTCCGGCCCTCTCTCTGCCTATTCTGTCCATGTCTTTCTGGTGCAAAAGGTTCCTTTATGACACATAGTTTCCCATTAATTTTGACGTTACTATCAGAGCTGAACAGGAAGGGAATGAACAGCTGAACAGGGATGGCACCCCCATCGGTGATATTATTCAACTTTGTTTCTAGTTAAAATACCTGCTGGGTCAGGCAGCTTTATCCAGGATAGTTCAGTGATTTTGTTTTCTTCATACAGTCCTGTCTTCGGATTTTCCTTTGCTTCTTCCCTTTACCTTTCTTTGTGATTTCAGGGCATCCTTTTGTTCACGTGCTAGTACTGTATGAATCTGATTTGATTGCAAGGTGTCTGTCTATAAGCTGTTCTTTAGTTACAGGGAGGCTAGTTTGTTAACCTGCTTGAATAGCCTCCACATTTAAGGGCAATCGTATAAAAGGCCCTTCTTTTGCTAAAGATCGAAGCATTTTACTTGCCAAAGGACAGTCAGCCTTTCATGCAGATTTGGCTTGGAGAGCGCAGGCCCACCCGCCAGTGCGCCCCGACGCAGGTATGTTCTCTTCTCCTGTTTTTGTCTCTTGATTTGCCCACACGTATTTTTCATTCACCCGTGAGCCCACATGGGACTGAGGAGAGAGCAGCCAGGAGCAGCAGTAGGGTTGCTTTGTGAACTAGATGGTGTGGCTGTTTATTTTTAAACCAAAGCATCCTTCCTGCCACAAAAGCACACATCCATCTTTGCTTCTTAGGGTCCGCAGCTCTTGATTTTGTTGGTACACAGTAACAAGCAGCCTGTCCCTCCCCTAGAGCAAAAACCCTGCTGCCTGCTCTGAGGCTGTGAGCCTTTCTTTGCCTGTCTCCTCCCCGGCTCTGGCTCCTTCAGCATCAGGTGCTGATGTCTCCACGCAGAAGGATTGGGGGCGCATGCAAACCCTGGGCTTCTGGGGAAGGGGGGGTGACAGTGGGCTCATCCACGAAATCAGATGTGTTGGGTGGAACTGTGGCGCTGCTGTCTCCTGTGTCCAGAGATGGCAGTTAAATGTGCCAGACTCAGAAGGAATGTGTGGGGAATAAAAGAGGTTTTTAGATGGCTTCCTTTCAGCACTAAGCTTAGTTCTGCTTTTCAGCATCCTGCAGCTCTTCTTTTAAAAGCTGATCTTTTGTACTTGGTTATCAACATCATCCTCGATGGTGCCCACCAAATAGGCGCAGGAGGTGTGCTGGGTTTTCCGTAGCCTGCTTTCCTCTGCCGTGGTGTTGGGGCCCGTTGCGGTTGTGTGCCAGGAATCTCGGTATGCCATGAAATGTGCAGACTCCTTGGGTTCCTGGCTTCCTGTGCGCAAGGGCAATAGCAGTGTGGCGAATCTGCAGTCAGGCTGAGATGTGCAGCCAGGACAGTGACCCAGGGTGATGTCTTGATGAGTTCTACGGTAGTCATTTTTTCTTTTACATGATAATTTCTGCATTTCTGAGTTTCTTCTGTTGTTGTTGTTCTTTTTTTTCTAAAATTTAAAAAATTTTTTACGTAGGCAGGCAGTATTACCTCATTTGTGAATGCAGCTATTCACCCCACTTACTTATTTTTTATTTTTAAAAGTGGGGAGTGTGGGTTGAGGAAGAGGGGAAGTTTGAAGGAGGGTGGGAGTTAACTGAGCTGTCCTTATACTTGATCTTACTAAGAAAGGTTTCTGTTCCCATGGTCTCTTGGAGCATTACTGTAGAAT